TAATAATTAATTTTTAAAATATTAATTAAAATATGATATTTTTAGATGCTTCTTCCATAAAAGACATCTTGCATAACACTTTCACGTCGTATTGCTATATTCTACTAAAACGTGTGTTTCACGAGAGGGATGGCCACAATACCCCACTTTGACACATATAATCCTTTTCACATCTATTTGGAAGGTAGAGTTCACACTTATTTGGAATCAAGAGTAGAAAACAGTGTTGGTCTGGATGACCTTGCACCTTTTCACATCTATTTGGAAGGTAGAGTTCACACTTATTTGGAATCAAGAGTAGAAAACAGTGTCGGTCTGGATGACCTTGCACCGTCAACTTTGTTTAAGACGAGTTTTTTTTGTCATACATGTGACAATTAGCTAGAAGAGGTAGAAACAAGGAATCTTTCAACTGTTTCATGATCAATATTTCCATCATCATATAGCTCCAGTTTTGAATATGGCAATTTTCTCCGTGACCTGCGGAGTTTCACGAAGATATCTGTCATGGAAATGGAGATTCTCAGAATATTCTTACCCATGGGGCGGGAATGGAGGCAATTTTTTACCTGTGAAATTCGCGGGGAATTTTATCCACCCCGTGGGGAACCATGGGGATCCATATAAAATAAAAAAATATAAATTTATTTATATATATATTTTGTGTACATATATTAGCAATTAATTTTTATTTATCCAATTTAATTAGCTAACCCAATACCAACATAACTTAAATTTCACAACCCATTCTTTTTTCAAAATTTTCAAACCCAATTCTCAACCCAACCCAATTTTTTTTTGTGAATCTAATAATCCAGCACCTAATTGTCCAGCCCCAATTTACAGCCCAATTTACATATAACCCTAGCAGGAGGACATTTCACTCAGTCTCTTTTTTGCTTGCCACTTCTTGCAATTGCAAATTGCGAATTTGGGAATTGGGATTCCTCATTCCTCTCTCGGTCGGTGTCGGTCTCTCCTCTCCAATCAGTCTTTGAGTCTCCTCTCCTCTAGTCCTCTGCCACACTCTTGCTCAAACTCTGCCTTCATCTCCATGGATCGCTTCCCTTCCGCTCTTAACCTCTCACTGACTCACCATGCCGTCTCTCGGTCGGTCACTCTCTCGGTCGGTCTCTCCAGTCAGTCTCTGAGTTTCCTTTCCTCTAGTCCTCTGCCACACTCTTGCTCAAACTCTGCCCTTATCTCCACAAACCTTCACAGTGATTCCCTTCAGCTCTCAACCTTGCTGTCACTACAACCTTTGGCCCCTGCTGCCCTGCAACGCTCGTCGCTCACCTCCAGTTGAGCTCCAAGGTTGCTGCTGGGTCATCTCAGCCCGCCTCTCACAGATCTTCACAGTGATTCCCTTTAGCTCTCAACCTCACCATCACTACAACCCCTGGCTCATGCTGCCTTGCAACGCTCGCCGCTCACCTCCATCTGAGCTCCAAGGCTGTCGTTGGGTCATCTCAGCCCGCCTCTCATTGTGGCACCGTGTCGTCAGCCCATCACTGCAAGTCAGCATTCTGTTTTCGCGTGGCTTCCTCCTCTGCAACTCTGCCTTGGATTCTTTTCAAACTTTCCAACTTCAGGTATCAATTAGATGCAGTTTTTGAAGCTACCGTTTTTGTGCTTTGCTTTTGTGTTTCTAACTAGTATAATTTAATTTTTGTGCTTTAGTGCTTTAGTGTTTTAATTAGTAATTTTTAATTTAATTTTTGTGCTTTAGTGCTTGAGTATTTTTAACTAGTAATTTTAGTGTTCTATCTTCACTACAACTAAGCATTGCATGCATTTGCATCTTGCATATCATGGATTGTCCCCAAATAGGAAAACCCAGTGGGAAGTATTGGTTGGTACAGTCCAGGGGGGTATACCAAAATGGGGGTGCATAAATAGTAATTTCTAATTTAATTTTTTTGCTTTAGTGCTCTATGCTTTAGTGTTTTTAACTATTAATTTCTAATTTAATTCATTCTTAGGTATCAATTAGCCAATGTCTTCACAAGAGCCTAACCCCCCATTGATTCAAATTCCAAATGAATCAAGTGCAAGCATTATACCAAGTGCTGCTGCTACACCAACTTCATCCTCGACTATCATTCCTCTTCCTCTTGCATTAGAAAGTGGTACTGGTGAAGATAAAAAAGATGATTAAGGACATAAGCGGCCACTTAGTTCTGAAGCATGGAACCATTATAGAAGGCAGAAAATTAATGGTCATTGGAAAGCTATTTGTGTCTATTGCAATAAACATCTTGGAGGCGAGACCAAGAATGGGACAAGTCATTTGCGTGAATCACACTCGGTTCTGTCCATTGAAATCTATTTTTGACATAAGGCAGACATTTTTGAGAGCTTCAAAGAATCAAGAAGGGAAAACAGAACTTGGGCATGGACTTTTCAATCAATAGATGGCTAAAAGGGAACTTGCATATATGATTACTGCGCATGAGTTACCTCTATCAATTGTTAATCATATTTTCTTTAGAAGGTTTGTTGTTGCTCTTCAACCAAGGTTCAAGTATGTTTTGAGAAACACAATCAAGAAAGATATCATGGGCATCTATTGTAATGAAAAGTCTAAAACAATGAACTTGTTGGAGGTCAATCAAAGTAGAATTGCCATCACAACTGACATGTGGACTTCAAATAATCAAAAGAGAGGTTTTATGGTCATCATAGCACATTATATTGACAATTCATGGATGCTGCAAAATCGAATTATCAGGTGACATTTTGTTATTTTTGTTCTGATTTTTTTAAATATATATTTGTGTTTATGAGTTTAGAATATTTAGTGTAATTCTTTCTATTGTTTTTTACAGTTTTCAATATGTGCCTTGTCCACACACTTTTGAGGTACTTGCAAAAACTTTGTTAGATTGTTTGATGGATTGGAATATTGATAGGAAATTGTCTACTATCACAGTAGATAATTGTTCTCCTAATGATGCCATGGTAAATTTGTTGTTAGGAAAAGTTTCTGATGATTCATTATGGGTAGAAGGAACCTTGATACATATGCATTGTTCTGCACATATCTTAAACTTAATTGTCAAAGATGGGTTGGAGGTAATTGTTGATGGAATTGAGAGGGCTAGAGATAGTGTTGCTTTTTGGACAGCAACACCAAAAAGATAGGAGAAATTTGAAGAGACGGCTAAACAATTGAAAATTGTTTTTTCAAAGAAATTAAATCTTGATTGTAAGACTGCATGGAATTCAACCTATTTAATGCTTCATGTGGCTTTATATTATAAAGATGTTTTCTCTCGTTTGAAACAAAGGGACTCACAATATAAATGTTCACCATTAGAGGAGGATTAGGAAATGGCCGGGGAGATTTCTAGTAGGTTGATGTTGTTTTATGAAATCATTGAGTTGTTTTCAGGGAATAAATATCCTACTACTAATATTTTATTCCCAAAGATCGGTGAAATTAAAATTGCATTGATGGCATGGTTGAGTTGTGAAAATGTTGTTATAGAAACAATGGCAGAAAAAATGCTTGATAAATTTGACAAGTATTGGAGTGAGGTTCATGGCATTATGGCTCTAGCAACTGTTTTAGATCCTAGATACAAAATGGAGTTGGTAGAGTTTTATTTTATTGAAATTTATGGGGATA